ACAGGTTACTTCTGATTTGCTGTTAGGACCTGAAAATGCTGGTTTCCATTACATTTTAAAGTGTTATTTAGATCAGATTGGTTTTAATGAAAATATAAAATAGCTGCATAAATTTTCAGATAAATTGATGGCTGTTTGAATTAGAAGCAGCTGTTTTTAGGTCCTACCATTAAGTAAAGTTGTGTTTTGTTTTGCATTTAAAACTGAAATGATTCAACTTTTTGCTACATTTATTGTTGTATTAGATTTGTTGCATTAGATTCAGTTTAGACAAGCAACGTTGGTCGCTTGTTGCTTTTGGGACAGTCTTGTTGGGGGTAGTCAGAGTGAAACAAAGGCAATAATAGAAGACACTCCATAATGTGCTAACTAAATGCTAATAGATCTTTTTAATAGTTATTTTTATAACTCTCCTGTGCAATAAAAGGGATTGTCCCTGTATGGATACTATCTGAAAGCTGGGAAACAGATGGTGTGAGTCAACAGGCAGGTTTCAGATTTAAGGAAAATTGCACGTAATCTATGGTTTTTGACGAGGCTTTAGCAGTTTCTATTTAAGCGATGGAGAAAGGGATGGAGGAATGAAACCACAGAGTTTGCTGACAGCACTGAGTTAATCAGAGTAATAAGAGTTGACAGCAAGGAGTTGCGGGACTTGTGTTCTTAAAGCCAGGCAGTAAATAGTAGGTGAAATTCCATGTGGACAAATATAAAGTGATATTGTGCGTGTGTCTGGAAAAATCCTTTATCTGTACAACTGAAGGCTCCCAGATAGTTTTCTACACTCCAACACAAGAGGAAAATAACAGCTTGGAAGCAGATAAGAAAGAATGAAAATAAAAGCTAGAAATTATCAGGAAAGGAGAACATTATTCAGCTGCATGTTTATGTTCTGTCTGCTTCTTACTTGCTGTGTACAGTTTGGTCCCTATTTCAGAAGCAGAAAATTGCAGGAAGGTTTGCTTAAGAGTCCTGACTAAAGGTAGTAAAACCTGTACATGAGAATTGTGGGATGGAAGAAAAAAACACTCTAGTGTGCAGAAAAGGCAGGGAAGATGCTGGAGTTACAAAGGGAGAGATTAACGAAATGAAGATAGTGAATAGGAAGGAGTTGTTCATATTCTAATTGTGATAACTGAACAGCTTTGAATAGAATTAGCAGGTGTCTGTTTAAATACAGACACACTGTATAGCACACATCTGGAATTCTTTGCTGCAAAACAAAGCTCAAAGTTGCAAAAATCTTTGGACAAATAAGTTATGATAAATGTAGATGGACCTCTTAACAGTGTTCTAGTGCTGTATTGCTTCTTGGACTGGAGTTCTGAGTTTCAGGTTTGGGTTAGATTGATTCTGTACCTAGGAAGCTGGAGCTGCCAAGTGATGGATCCCACCTTCTATGATAATCCAATTTTTTCTCTTTTTCTCACTTAAATTTAAGGGACATACTGGGTATTTGGGGTAAAATGACTTTAGCCTCTTATATCTAAACTGTCTGCTCTTCCTTAAGTAGTAAGAACTATGAGTTACATTGTTACATTTATTCATTTGTAATCATAAAATGCTTTGAAGTTCTTAATTCTGAACCATTATGGGAGTGCTAAGTGTGGTATTTTATTACCTAACACAGACACAGTTTGTAGCTTTAATCATTCCAAGTACTTCAGAAATAATCATGTATTATGTTTACTGTCAGCAAATGCACCTACCCTCCCTAAACACTGAACATCCAGTGTATGGGAGGCAGGTTAGACTAATCATTGACTAGACAATAATCAGTCCTGTCATGCAGCAAAATTTGCATTGTGACAGTGATTGTCTAAATGAGGAAGTTAGGGGAGTGCAGTATAAAGAATGCCTTTCATTTCAGCTGCAGAGGAGATCCAGCATTTGCAGAGCAATGAGATATTTGTGATGTTAACAACCAAAATGATTTTTATTGATAATGACAGATGGTGCTTAGATAATGTGCCCTGAATCGTCTGCAATATGTTCAAAATAAGTCTTCTGGAAGGTTGTACATCTGTCTTGAGATCTTTTACTAAAATATTTAAATCAAGGTCATTGTTTACATTTGATTTTAAATAGCTTTTAGCTTGTACTCTGTATTTCTGTACATTTAGAGATCAAACTGTTCATAACTTCAAAAGCTACAAATAGAGAAGTATAATAGGTAGCAGGTGTTAGAAAAGGCAATTATGCATTAGCTGTTTTACTCAATTTCCAAAACTGTCTAAAACTATCCATTGGAAATACTTTGTAGCCTAGGCTTATCTCTGAAGCATGATGAGTTTTTAAACCTATAGGGACATATGCATTTTTTCTCTAATAAATTGCATGTTTAAACCTATTTGCTTTCATTTAAAAGAGCTGAAGAAAATTGTATTGGGGGAAAAAAAGGCTGAAGAGAAAAATTTCGTCTAAAATATTTTTCTGCAGTTTTTCAAAAACATTATTACATTTTTGAGCATATTTGTTGTTAATTTTTAAGCCACTTATCTTGACTTTGTGGCTATGGAAAAATTCTTGTTTTGTGATAACAGACTAAATTCTTGGGCCTAAAATCAGAATCTTAGGTTATTATGAGAAAAAAAATAATGCTATGATGATTTAATTTGACCTCTAGCAATTGTTATGTGAGTTAGTGTAACAGCAGAATTAACAATTTCCATAACAGCTCCTGTTAACTAACTTTGAAAGTAGTATTTTAATTTCCATGTAGGTTTCTTTAATCCTCTTTCCTTCTTCCCTACACATTTCAAGAACTCATATAAGAAGAGTGTGGAGAAGAATGCTTAAGTAATGTATATGCTAATACCAGTGCAAATTCCTTTCTTTTCCCTCTTTCTTGCTCATATCATGTCATCATCAAAGAAATGCGAATCTTTATTTCCTTCTGCTATGATAGCAAATAACCTAAAACATAAACTATACTCGTTAATAATTATTAGCTTAAATGAAATTTTCCTGTCTGCAGACTGCTCAGTCTCCTGCTTCATCTTCAAGAATAGTCTTCCTCTTTTCTCTATTTCCACTGTTTCTGTACTTCCCTGTATCTTTTCAGGAGTCTCAATCCTCCTCTATTGGCCTCCATTCTTTAGCTCTCATTTTCCTCCTTCCCCTTTGGTTGCAAATGATAAGGCTGGTCCATTCTCTTGAGATGATAGTTCTTCGAAGGAGATCTGAAAGCAGGACATCCTTCACCAAGCAGTGCCACCTTTTTCTGTCTTCTTTGTTACTGCTCTCATTCCTGATGTGCCTGAATGTCTTTACCAATGATAGAATACCCTTAGAGCAGAAAGTGCTGTTCATGTGTGGATGTGATGACGTTTTCTTGCACAGGCTGTTAAGACTTGGTCTTAAGAGCTCTCTCTTTTCACTGGACTCCAGTACCCTGCTTGCTTTCCAAATTAGGGAAAGATTGTCACTTCTGAGACAATTCCGGGTATTCCAGAGAAACCCAGGAGCTTCTCATGTGTGCATAAATGCTATTACTTTAAAGGACTTTTTCAAAATTCATGTTACAAGTGGGAAATTGCTTGTAATATAGTGCTGAGAAAATGTAGAACATAGTTATTGTTTCTAGACTTGATTTTAAATGTTTTAAAATACTTTTTCATCCTTTCAAAGAAAATTTTGTAAAAAATTGTTGTTTATGCTTTAGTTATAAAAGATTGTTGTTAAAGACTGAATTTAAAAAAATATACAGCATGTTCTCTGAATTTACAGAATAAAGTAGGAAGAGGGTTGTTTTCTTTGAATTGGCTTTCTGCGTTTTTAGAGTTGTCTTTAATAATTTAAATATTGCCACAGTAGTATCTGATATGATAAGTGGTAGCACCTCTTCTCTTGCAAGTATGTTATTTTGAGATACATTACACTTTCACATATAGTAGATCTCCATCCCAATGGAAATGTTGGCACTAAAGTAAAAGATGTGGATTTGTCAGGAGGATCGTTGTAAGTACATGATTCTGTAAAATGATAGCTTCAATATTGTAAATTGGACATCTCTTTGATAAAGACAAACTCTGGAGAGTTCTAGTCAAAATTACCATATGCTTTGTCTGCTCTGGGATTTTACATTGTGCTAACTTACTGTGTTATTCAAGTATAATTTTCCTAGAATAGGGGAAGTTATCAAAGGATATTATAATCAAAATCTTCCTTTTCTGGTTCCAACAATTACTGACTGCAGTTTAAAATTTAAACCTTCCCTGAAAATAATTGGCATTATCTCTTTTCATGACTCTTAACAATTTGGTCAGCATGATCCATAGTTTCAGTAGCTGCTCACATGGTGTTTGTACCAACCCCTACAGTGCACTAGAGTAATGGCACTTCTGTCAGCCAAGGGTAGACAAGGAGGAGAAGAAGGGTGTTTTTCCTTCTCCTCCGGTGGCTGCAGTAAGGTTACTTTATCACACTGTTACAAATGCTACGTAGAATATTTTAAATACGGTATGTTTCTCAGTTTAATAGAAATTAAATATATATATTGTTACATCAAGTTTTATATAATAAGTTGTTTCTTCTAATTCAAGTTGTTGACTTCTATTTCAATCAAATATAGACCAAAATTTAGTTTTAATAACTATAAACCATAGTTTTAAAGTGCTTTTGTAGTTCACTATAGTAGAATTTATAATAAAAAGCGATCAATTTCAAATGGAGCTCTAGTAATTTTAGCAATGGAGATGAAGGATACGTTCATGACACAGCGTAGATAATAAAGTACTGGATAACATCAGAAATGGGAGAATGGCACCTATAAAGAATGACTTTAAGTATGGGAAGTAAATTCATACTTCACCTTAGTTCTGGTTACAGTTATGAATAAGTTTGTCACAGGTAAAATGCAAACATATTTGTGATAGCAGTACAAAGCAATGTAAGTGATGCGTGTACCTAGTAGTGAATGTCATAAAAAGCAGTTGGAGGGTATCTTAATTAGAAGTATGCATTGTAATGATGTTTTTTGTTTATTTTATTTTTTCTAGTCTGAACCAGAGGGGTTTTCTCACTTCCACTTGTATGTCTGTGCTGCCTTCCTTGTCAGGTGGAGGAAGGAGATTCTGGAGGAGAAGGACTTTCAGGTAAGTAAAGAATTGAGTAATATAAAAATCTGTGAATATTTTTCAATCACAGGGAGGAAATTATTTAAATTTAGATTCCAGGCATTATGTGGGGATGAATTGATAACAAAACAGAAACACTTGCAACAGGAATGAAGATGTGTAACTGTTTGTTACGGTTCCTCCAAAACTGTTAGACCTGAAGTAACTACAAGCAGTAGCAAATGTGTGGTCAGAAAAAAAAGGAAAAAAAAAAAAAAAAAAAGTTCTGTTTAATATTGAGGCAGATGTTAAGAAAATGATTTCTGGAGATAAGTAAATCTTAGGAATCTCATAAAAAAAAATCTGAAAAGGTAATGGGATTTTTTTAAAGAGCTTAAATACATTACTGGAGTTACTTATTTATGAATTCCCATCTCTATAATATAGCAGCAAACTCTAACAAGATTATTTTTCTTCTTTCAAAAAAGCAAGGCAAGCAACCTTCAAAAATAATAAGCCTATATTTCAGGGCCAAATAAAAGGGTTGTAAAAGTGATTGTTTTGGGTCTTACATTTCAAAACCTTCCATTTGTTTAGCATAGAGCATATCTGTTAGTTGTTTGGAATGGGATTTCAATAGTGTAAATAGGCAAATAATTTCCATACCCACATAGAAGTTCAGTTACATTTGTGAACTGGTGACAGTTCCATTTCAAAGCAATATTTTATATTTAATTTTTCTCTCTGATGCACATGCAGTTCCTAAAAGGCATTAAAGGCCTGTTTTCAGGCTGGCTGTAAACAAACCACACTGCAAAGCCGACACCATTTCCTGCCCCAGGGAAATGGCCTGTTACCAGCTTGTTTTCCCTTCAGCTGATGAACTCTGTTGCCCTGTACAAATGAGCCATTGTATGAGTCTGTGTTTCATTGCCATCTATTTTATCGTCCTTTATAAAACAGTTTATTCAGTGCACTTTAACTGTTGTCTATCTTTGCAATAAATAAACCCATATGGGCACGATGTAACTACTTTTATGCTACCTGATAGTACTGGTACTTAATCAAAAATAATTTCAGTGTTGGTAGTCACACCTCTCAAATATAATTGTTCACTGCTAATCCTATTAATTTAATTTCCACTGATATCCTGCATCAAAGTTTTTAACATTTTTGCCTCTCTATCAAATACATTGCAACCATGTTTACAGCACTAATGATCTCAAGGTGAAGTGCTGTGGTGATTTCTTTTCTCCTTACATGTGCTCAGATTAGTTCATTAATGTAATACATAAAATATGCCTTTATGATTTAATTTCTTATAAGCTATGTAAGATACATAAATCAGTAACACGATAAATCAGGAACACATTTATCATACTGCTTTAGGTCACTTACCACATAGATAAGCAATTAGTAACTGAGGTTCTGTATGCTATTGCTAGTGTCATCACTGTAAGGCTTCACCATTATTGTACAACATCAGCTTTTAAAATGATTAAACTAAATTGTTATAAATTCTGCAAACGATGATTCTCCCCCACAGGGGAAAAAAAAGGCACTACTCTTCCACTTTGTTACCAATAGCTGTATTGTAGACCATTACTTATTCTATGACTGCTGTTCCAAAAGTAATGTCTCCTATTTTATTATGTTGATCCTTGACCTCAAGGGCAGATGTTGTTGGTAAGGCAGTAGGGGTTGAGCCTTCCCCCAGTATCCTGTTGTTTCCATGGGAGAAATAGCAGCAGAAGGGGCCATCTGACAAAATGGCATCTGACATGGAAGTATGTATGAGGCAAAGGTGTGTCACTGAATTCCTCCATGCAGAAAAAATGACACCCACTGATATTCATTGATACTTACTGAAGACTTTTTGGAGATCAAACAGTGGATGCGAGCACAGTGAGGTGGTGGATAGTGCTTTTCAAGAGTAGTGCCAGTGGATCATAGAATCACCAAGGTTGGAAAAGACCTCCAAGACCATCCAGTCCAATAGTCCACCTATTACCAATATTTCCCCATTAAACCAATATCCTGACCACCTCCAGGGATGATGACTCAACCACCTCTCTGGGCAGCCTGTGCCAGCACCTGATCACTTTTTCAGAGAAGAAGTTTTTCCCAACATCCAGTGTGAATTTCCTCAGATGCAGCTTGAGGCCATTCCTCTAGTTGTGTTGCTACTTACATGGAAAAAGGAGCCAACCCACTGGAGAGTCACCTGCACTGGTGCAGACTTTTATGAGCGCAGCATGCAGGCTGTTGTTCATCGCTGGTGAAAATGCATAGATAATGGTGTTGACCGTGTTGAGAAATAGTTTTGTAGCTGAGAGTTCGCTTTATCAAAAAGTATTATTGTGCTCTTTGTATCTGTTGCAGTTTCCATGGAAATCAATTGGATCTCAAGTAATAGAGTTTTAAACCACATTGAAATGTTAGAAGTTCAGTGTATATTGTTGGGTGAATGTGGTTCCATTGAATTCACATTATTGAGACATCCTAGGTATAACATGTTTTGCAGTGAAATTTTGAGATTTATAAAATATTTTGGAAATCATTAATACGTATGTCCAATCATTTCTCTTGCACATGGTGTATGCTATATGCATTTTTCTGCATCTACTGATCAGTAAGGATGCCTGATTCCTTACTGCTTACTGTGAAAATTCGCATTTCTCTTTTATGTGTCTGTTTGACCTCTTTCATTAGAGTGAAAAAACTCATGAGGTTTTTAAGGCAGAATGATTTCCCCAGAACACTGGGTGTGGTCACGTACTGGATGAGACACTGAGTGGATTTTTGATGAAAAGCCAATTTTAAAGATTTTGATTATGCTAGGTTTGACAATATTTATTCTTATCATCTGTTGAAGTATGTTATGAGTAGCGTTATAGACAGAACAAAGAATATAACCTTTTGGCATAACATTTTGGCCAATGGCATCCTGGGATGCATTAAAAAGAGTGTGGCCAGCAGGTCGAGGGAGGTGATCCTCCCCCTCTACTCTGCCCTGGTGAGGCCTCAGCTGGAGTACTGCGTCCAGTTCTGGGCTCCCCAGTACAAAAAAGACAGGGATCTCTTGGAAAGAGTCCAGCAGAGGGCCACAAAGATGGTGAAGGGCCTGGAGCATCTCTCCTATGAAGAAAGGCTGAGTGAACTGGGTCTGTTCAGCCTTGAGAAAAGACGACTGAGAGGGGACCTGATCCAGGTCTATAAATATCTAAGGTGTGGGGGGCAGAATGGCGAGGCCAGACTCTTTTCAGTGGTGAGTGGAGACAGGACAAGGGGAAACGGCTGGAAACTGCAGCATAGGAAGTTCCGCACAAATGTGCACAAGAACTTCTTTACAGTGAGGTGACGGAGCACTGGAACAGGCTGCCCAGGGAGGTGGTGGAGTCTCCTTCTCTGGAGATGTTCAAGACCTGCCTGGATGCCTACCTGTGCGACCTGGTGTAGGGAACCTGCTTTGGCAGGGGGGTTGGACTCAATGATCTCTGGAGGTCCCTTCCAACCCCTACAATTCTGTGATTCTGTGATTCTGTGATTCTTTGCTCTTAAGGTGCTTGCTTCTATTATCTTGATTCTGTATTTCTGCAACCTAATCAATTAATAAAAGCGTGACATTTATTCTTCCTCATATAAAGCAATTAATTTTTACATATCAAATGTTTACCTGTTCACCTAACAGGTCCTTATCACATCTTTTTTGTGCATGGCTTTCATTTTTATTTTATATTCATTTTTGTTATTACTGTCATGCGGTTGTGTCATGGCTAGGGTAATATTATGAATTGTTAAAACTTGAAAACTACTACTTGGTACTTGTTTTACATCCATAGAAGGAATCGCTGTAGTATTGTCTTCAAATTTGACTTATTAAATTTGACTCATTTTCCTAAGTACAGCTGTAATTCCAGAATTTTCCTGAATTTGTGGGAGAAATATGAGTAGCTGATAATGTTAAGTGATAAAACATTCAAGCATGATTTTGAGCATATTTAGAATTAAAATAGTAATGGAAAATATAGCTGTTGAATTTAATAGTGTCAGGGACAGGATATTTGAAAGATTTGTAAGGAAACAGGACACTATGGACCAGATTTATCTGTCATGCTGAATATAAGTTAATAGTAATGTTGGACTGATACTGATTTAAATGTTGGATATTAGAGATTTAGTTCGAATTTTCAGTATAAGTAAGTTATAATTTTGTTGACACAGTTGAGCTATAAAACTATATTCAGTATGTTGCAGTAAGAAATCTGTCTTGCAGATGTTTTTTTTCATCATTCTAAGATACAGGCTTTTCTATCCAGCAGACATTTACTCCTATGCTGTCATTAACCCACATCTTTATTACTACGATGTCCTTTTCTTTGGCTTTGACAAATGCATTTTTGCTTCATTTATATTCATGCAGTCTGCGAAGAAGCTGTGAAGATCATTTTTCAGTCCGTCATTTTTTCTCACTGTTCACCTTCTGTAACTTCCTTTCCTATGTGGCACCAAGGAAAATTGGGTGGTTTCTATTTCAAGGCCGTTAATGGACTAATACCAACACCTTAGCTGTCATCTCATATTCTGTACTGAGATTTTGAATGCCAGTTTATCAGCCGGCGATGACAGCCTCATCACGTGTTCCTGAGTTATTGAGAAAGTATCTGTGCTGTGTTCTTTGTTGACCATCTTATTTAAATGGAGCATGTAATGCAGATCTTGCTACTTCTCTCTGAGTCCTTGTATTTTTCTGTGATGCATGGAATAGATTTGGCAGATAGGCTATGATGCTGTTAGTCACATTCACATCGATGGTTTTTTGTTGGTTCTTTTTACCTTTCTGTGAACTTGCTGTCTACTGAAACTTACTTGAGCAATGAAATCTTTGGATTAGTGACTGTCCTTTCTTCTGATTTATATAATCTTTAAAATAATGATTCTTTAATCTGAGTAAATGCTATGGGGTAGCTTTACTGACTTCATGAACAAAATGAATGTATACGCAGTAGTCTTTTCCAGTGAAATGCTGAAAAGTGTTC